ATCTTTTTTGACAACAATATCCATAATCATTTATATATGAACCTATATCCATAATCATTTATATACTGAACCTATATCCATAATCATTTATATATGAACCTATATCCATAATCATTTATATATGAACCTATATCCATAATCATTTATATACTGAACCTATATCCATAATCATTTATATATGAACCTATATCCATAATCATTTATATATGAATCTATATCCATAATCATTTATATATGAACCTATATCCATAATCATTTATATATGAACCTATATCCATAATCATTTATATACTGAACCTATATCCATAATCATTTATATATGAACCTATATCCATAATCATTTATATATAAACCTATATCCATAATCATTTATATACTGAACCTATATCCATAATCATTTATATATGAACCTATATCCATAATCATTTATATACTGAACCTATATCCATAATCATTTATATATGAACCTATATCCATAATCATTTATATACTGAACCTATATCCATAATCATTTATATATGAACCTATATCCATAATCAGATCCTCTGCAGATGTGTCCTATAATGTGCAGTTCATGATAATAGCTTGTTCCTGGTTTTCCGCGATTGCTTTTTTTGTGCATAAAAACATTATTTTTTTCATGAAAACATAAACAAATAATTCTGAAAACCTCTGTGCATGTGTATTAATAATGTATATGTATAATGTGTTCTCTGATTTACATTTAAATGTGTTACGGAAACGTAGGTGTAGACCAATCAGAAAGGAAGGGGGAGGAGCTTGCGTCATTTTTTTTTCAAATCAAGCACCTCTCTCTCTCTCTTTCTGACAAACTGCAGACAATCACTTTAATGACCCTTTCTTTCACCGTCTTTGCGGAGGTTTTTGAAGTCTGAAAATACAGTAGGTGCTCCGACTTTTGTGATGAATGAATCCTTCAGTGAACGGTTTCATTGTTCCTCGTGCCATAGTCTACATTAAAGAGAGTAATAAACATGTCTCATAGTGAGGGTGACACAGACAACACTGCTGTTTGTTACAGGGAGGAGAATTGGTCAAAAAAGTCTGAAATGCAGAATGTCAGCCATTGGCTGTCACTAAATCTGTTTGTTCACAACATTTTACTTCATGGGCACAAACATGAACTTTTAATTCAATGGAAAATGTAGGTACCCGAGGTTTAGTTTAGGGCGTGTAGTCGCGCTGTGAGAGGAGAGCGGAGACGCGGACTGTTTCCTGCAGCGGTGTATTTATTGGGTCCACAGATTACGCAAAGACACACATGGTCCTGTGCGCGTTTATGGTCTTAAATGGTCACGTTGCGGCTACGCACTCACCGTGTCGTGTTGTGAGCTGACTGGAAGACATTTCAAAGAATGTGTGAGGAGGGGATGGGTGATGTCATTGACTCAGATACCATGGATAATATGAACAACCAGTTGGTGCAGGTTATGATGGAGGCAGCAGAACATTGTATAGCTAAAAGTAAACCTGTACAGAGCAGAGCCCTTGTACCGTGGTGGACAAAGGAATGCCAAAAAGCGGTCAAAGTAAGGAACAGAGCTTTTAGGCTTTTCAGGAGAACTCTCAATATCCAGCCATCCATTTTCTACCCCTAATCCATTTCTGGGTCGGGGGGGTGGCAGTCAGAGCTGCACCCAGTCACAGAGCACCAGCCCCTCACCTCCTGCAGGTGCTGAGTCCACAGGAGCCTTGATCTTTCAGTGGGGGCTTCAGGCAAAGAGGGGTTAAGTGTCTTGCCCAAGGACACAACGACACCAGTCATCAGTGGGAGTCGTGAAGTTATAGGTCTTGTGGTGGGCTCAAACCCATGACCTTCAGGCTCAAAGGCCAATACCAACTGAGCCACTGTCGCCCCACTCTCAATAATGTAAGAGAGCGCAAGCGGTTGTTAAACGGACCGTGAGGCAGGCAAAGAGAGCAAGTTGAGAGGCTTCTGTTTGAAGATCGGGAGAACCACTCCTGTAGGAGAAGTCTGGAGGACGGTTAAGAGGATGGGAGGAAACCGACCAGATTGGGACTACCCTGTTTTAGTACCAGAGCACGGCACAGCAGTCTCAGATATTGACAAAGCAGAGGTTCTGGCTCAAAACTTTGCTGTGGTCCATAGCTCAGGAAACCTGTCAGAAAATGTGGTGAGGAGGAAAGCTCAGACTAAAGCCCAGTATCCTGATGATTTGGTGTCGAAAATGTCTTTAAATCATCATTTGGACTCTCCAATAACTATGGATGAGGTGAACAGGGCGATAAGAAAAGCAAAGCCAACATCTCCAGGTAAAGATCAAGTAAACTATTCTATACTGAGTAATTCGGGGAGTGAGGGTCGTAAGAAGTTATTGGTCCTGTTCAATAAAGTTTGGATCGAGGGGAAGCTCCCCAGCTCCTGGAAGGAGGCTGTCATTGTGCCTGTCAAAAAGCCTGGGAAGGACCCATCGAAGCCCAGCAGCTATCGGCCAACTGCCTTTACATCGAACATATGTAAAATTATGGAACGTGTGATTGTAGAGAGGTTTTCATATGAGCTGGAGAAAAGAGAAGCATTGGCTGGTTTTCAGAGTGGTTTTCCAAGGGCAAGGAACAGCAATGATGAGGTTGTCAGACTTGAGAAGGTTAACAAAGAGTCTGTTGTAGCTGTGTTTTTTGATAAAGAGAAAGCGTTTGACATGATGTGGGAGGACGGGTCTTGATCAAACTGTATGGGCTTAAGGTGCGTCTTTAACTGGATCAGAGATTTTCTTTTTGGACGGAGGATCCAGGTGCGAATTGGATCGACGTATTCTAACCTGTAAACCAGGGGTGCTCACACTTTTTCAGCATGCGAGCTACTTATAAAAGGATCAAGTCAAAATGATCTCCCTACTACAAAAATGCAAATCATATATTTATTTCAAAAAATATTCTTTATACCTACAATGTATGTTTATGTACATGCAAAACCGCATGAGCCAATTTAGCACAACACAATTACCTATGTACATTTTTTGTCATTACCCGAGTTTACTCTGATGACTTGCACTGAATTGAATCGGCCAGGGAGGCATAGTCCGGAAAATTGGTGGTAACTCGCTGACAAGTTTGTCGTGGTTTAGCTTTCCTGCACTGAGCGCAGTTGTTTGCGCATGTGCAGTCACCTAAGTGTCAGTAAAACATTACTGAGTAAAACACAGATGTCATTTTACTGTGGTGCCATGTCCATGTGCCATGCCTGTTTTTTTAAATCCAAATATTTCCCCTCCTCAGTTTATAAAATAATTTGCATCCACACATCTGCGTTATCAATCACATTCGTAACATTCCAAACATGTGCGTCTCTTACGTCCTGTCCTGCGTTGGGGAAAAACACAGAAGTGGGCGGAGCTTTGATGCAGACGCCGGTAACGGCACTTTTACAGTCATAGAAGACACTCAGAGTAAAGACGTATGTTTACAAGCACTGACCCCGTCCTCAGCCCTGGTTTGGTTCTGGTTTAGTCCTGGTTTAGTCCTGGTTTAGTCCTGGTTTAGTCCTGGTTTGGTTGTTTTCGAGCGTGAGTCCCTGCGATCACTTTGCTGCTCTCTGATGTGGAGGATGTTTGCTGCTGCGAGCATCTCACAGCGAACAGTTTTTAAGGTCGTATGATCCAGGCTTCAGTGATCAGAGGAATTTAGGGGGGTACTTTGGCGTGCGAGAACGCAAAACTCCGGTTATCTCTGTCTACACACAAATGCATTAACGGAGTTTTCAAAAATCTCCACTTTGCCCGGAGTTTTTTGTATATATTCGTTTAGAATGTGTAATTTTTTCATTTATTTAATGCGATCTACCAATACTACCTTTGCGATCGACTGGTAGATCGCGATCGACGTATTGAGCACCCCTGCTGTAAACAGTGGACAATAGAACTCCTCAAGGCAGTGCAATAAGTCCTTTGCTTTTTATCATAATGATCAGTGATGTGTTCTCTGCAGTGCAGTGTTGGCAGGTCACGGTGCGCAGAGGATGGGGCGTTATGGTGCAGAGGGAGAAACATTGAATATATTTTTGGGAAGATACAAGATGCTGTAAATTGTGTGATGGAGTGGGGATGTGACCGGGGGTTTGGATTCTCAGTGGAAAAAACTAAAAGTCTTTTTTACCAGGATAAGAGTTTTAAAAATACGGCTCTATGGAGAGGAAATTGAGAAAGTACGCTCATTTAAGTATTAGGGTGTTATTTTTGACTCCCATTTGACTTGGAAAGATCATGAGGTTATAAATGGTAAAAAGGTTATAAATGTAATGAGATGTGTGCCTGGTTACATCTGCAGAGCCATAGAGAGTCCCATCCCACCAAACAGGTGCTCAGGGAACGCTGGGAGTATGGGCCAGAAAAATAGTTTTGGCAAAATAGGGACAAACTGATCCACCTTGACCAGCTTTCACCCGGTCTTCATTCAAGTCTCTGGTCCCTCTGTGGTCTCTTGTCTCTTTCTGGTCTCTACTCTCTCTGGTCTCTCTTTCGTCTCTCTCTCTGGTTTCTCTTTCGTCTCTCACTGGTCTCTCTCTGGTCTCTCTTTGGTCTCTCTCTCTGGTCTCTCCCTAGCCTCTCACTCTGGTCTCTCTCTGGTCTCTCTCTCTGGTCTCTTGTCTCTCTGGTCTCCGGTCTCTCTGGTCTCTTGTCTCTCTGGTCTCTTGTCTCTCTGGTCTCTTGTCTCTCTGGTCTCTTGTCTCTCTGGTCTCTCTGGTCTCCGGTCTCTCTGGTCTCCTGTCTCTCTGGTCTCTTGTCTCTCTGGTCTCTTGTCTCTCTGGTCTCTCTGGTCTCTTGTCTCTCTGGTCTCTTGTCTCTCTGGTCTCTTGTCTCTCTGGTCTCTCTGGTCTCTCTGGTCTTTCTGGTCTCTCTCTGGTCTCTCTCTCTGGTCTCTCTGGTCTCTTGTCTCTCTGGTCTCTCTGGTCTCTCTGGTCTCTCTGGTCGCTGGTCTTTCTGGTCTCTCTCTGGTCTCTCTCTGGTCTCTGGTCTCACCGGGCTGAGAGTAGATGGTTCCCACGTCCAGTTTGAAAGTTCCGACCAGTGTTCCGGAACGCAGCAGGTTTTTGGAGTGAATCACCTGAAGAAGTGAAGGGGTCAAAGGTCAGGGTCAGAGGTCAGGGTCAGAGGTCAGAGGTCAGGGTCAGAGTTTACTCACCGACAGTTTGAGGATTTTGTCGAACATGACTTCAGAAGGAACATGGAAGTCGAACACGAAGTACTGAAAACACATGAGAATAAACACCTGTGTGTGTGTGTGTGTCTGTGTGTGCGTGTCTGTGTGTGTGCGTGTGTGTGTGTGTGTGTGTGTGTGTGTGTGTGTGTGTGTGTGTGTGTGTGTGTGTGTGTGTGTGTCTGTGTGTGTGTGTGTGTGTGTGTGTGTGTGTGTGTGTGTGTGTGTGTCTGTGTGTATGTCTGTGTGAGTGTGTGTGTGCGTGTCTGTGTGTGTGTGTGTGTGTGTGTGTCTGTGTGCCTTTGTGTGCGTGTGTGTCTGTGTGTGTGTCTCTGTCTGTGTGTGTGTCTCTGTCTGTGTGTGTGTGTGTGTGTGTGTGTGTGTGTGTGTGTGTGTGTGTGACTCTGTCTGTGTGTGTGTGTGACTGTGTGTGTGTGTACCTCGTTGTAGTAAGGGCAGTTTGTAGACTCTTTCATACATGTGTACTTCTTGTCTTCCCCGATCTCCACACAGACCATAGGATCCATGTTCAGACCAATCAGCTGCCGGGCCTCTATCACCGTCACACTGACCTGCACCAGACACATGTACCAGGAGGGACCAGGAGGGACCAGGAGGGACCACAGGGACCAGGAGGGACCAGGAGGGACCAGGAGGGACCAGGAGGGACCAGGAGGGACCAGGAGGGACCAGGAGGGACCACAGAGACCAGGAGGGACCAGGAGGGACCAGGAGGGACCAGGAGGGACCAGAGGGACCAGAGGGACCAGGAGGGACCAGAGGGACCAGGGGAGGGACCAGAGGGACCAGGAGGGACCATGAGGGACCAGAGGGACCAGGAGGGACCAGAAGGGACCAGGAGGGACCAGAGGGACCAGGAGGGACCAGGAGGGACCAGAGGGACCTGGAGGTACCAGAGGGACCTGGAGGTACCAGAGGGACCAGGAGGGACCAGGAGGGACCAGAGGAACCAGAAGGGACCAGGAGGGACCAGGAGGGACCAGGAGAGACCAGGAGGGAACAGGAGAGACCAGGAGGGACCAGGAGGGACCAGAGGGACCAAAGGGACTAGAGGGACCAGAGGGACCAGGAGGGACCAGGAGGGACCAGAGGGACCAGGAGTGACCAGGAGGGACCAGAGGGAACAGGAGAGACCAGGAGAGACCAGAGGGACCAGGAGAGACCAGGGGGACAAGAGGGAGACCAGATGAAATTTCCTCACCTGGTAATCCACTGGTCGACCAGAACTTGGCTCCATCTTTATGTCCGGTTTGGATCTAGAAAAAATAGTTTAAATGTCAGATTTATAGCAGCCTGGACCTGCCACAGCCTCAGTCCTGGGTCTACAGTCTCAGTCCTGGGTCTACAGCCTCAGTCCTGGGTCTACAGCCTCAGTCCTGGGTCTACAGCCTCAGTCCTGGGTCTACAGCCTCAGTCCTGGGTCTACAGCCTCAGTCCTGGGTCTACAGTCTCAGTCCTGGGTCTACAGCCTCAGTCCTGGGTCTACAGTCTCAGTCCTGGGTCTACAGCCTCAGTCCTGGGTCTACAGCCTCAGTCCTGGATCTACAGCCTCAGTCCACAGCTACCATGTGGACACAGCTAACATGGGGGACACAGTTACCATGGGGGACACAGCACCATGGGGGACACAGAACCATGGGGGACACAGCTACTAGGGCTGCACCATATATGGAAAAATGCGTGTGATATCAAAAAGATCTGCGATAAAATATATATATACATATTTTTTACTTTCCTTTATTAAAGACAACAAAACAAACAGTAAATAAATATATCCATCTGAAGGTCATTACTGTTGATCTGAAGGTCATTACTGTTCATCTGAAGGTCATTCATGTTGATCTGAATGTCTTTACTGTTGATCTGAAGGTCATTACTGTTGATCTGAAGGTTATTACTGTTGATCTGAAGGTCATTCATGTTTATCTGAAGGTCATTCATGTTGATCTGAAGGTCATTACTGTTCATCTGAAGGTCATTCATGTTGATCTGAATGTTGTTACTGTTGATCTGAAGGTCATTACTGTTGATCTGAAGGTTATTACTGTTGATCTGAAGGTCATTCATGTTTATCTGAAGGTCATTCATGTTCATCTGAAGGTTATTACTGTTGATCTGAAGGTCATTACTGTTAATCTGAAGGTCATTCATGTTGATCTGAAGGTCATTACTGTTGATATGAATGTCATTACTGTTGATCTGAAGGTCATTCATGTTGATCTGAAGGTCATTACTGTTGATCTGAAGGTCATTACTGTTGATCTGAAGGTCATTACTGTTGATCTGAAGGTCATTCATGTTGATCTGAAGGTCATTACTGTTGATCTGAAGGTCATTCATGTTGATCTGAAGGTCATTCATGTTGATCTGAAGGTCATTACTGTTGATCTGAAGGTCATTACTGTTGATCTGAAGGTCATTCATGTTGATCTGAAGGTCATTACTGTTCGTCTGAAGGTCATTCATGTTGATCTGAAGGTCATTACTGTTGATCTAAAGGTCATTACTGTTCATCTGAAGGTTATTACTGTTGATCTAAAGGTCATTACTGTTCATCTGAAGGTCATTACTGTTGATCTGAAGGTCATTCATGTTGATCTGAATGTCATTCATGTTGATCTGAAGGTCATTACTGTTGATCTGAAGGTCATTACTGTTGATCTGAAGGTCATTCATGTTTATCTGAAGGTCATTCATGTTCATCTGAAGGTCATTACTGTTGATCTGAAGGTCATTACTGTTGATCTGAAGGTCATTCATGTTGATCTGAAGGTCATTACTGTTGATCTGAAGGTCATTCATGTTGATCTGAAGGTCATTACTGTTGATCTGAAGGTCATTCATGTTGATCTGAAGGTCATTCATGTTGATCTGAAGGTCATTACTGTTGATCTGAAGGTCATTCATGTTGATCTGAAGGTCATTACTGTTAATCTGAAGGTCATTCATGTTGATCTTATTCTTTGTTATATGTCTCTTGTGTTTCGAAGCAGATGCAATTTTAGGTGAAAGACAAAAATATCACAATAAATCGTTATCGCACTAATCACTCATATTGAATATTGCGCTCATTTACTATATTGTGCAGCCCTAACAGCTACAATGTGGACACAAATACCATGGGGGACACAGATACCATGGGGGGCAGCACCATGGGGGAGACAGCTACCATGTGGACACAGATACCGTGGGGGGGACAGCACCATGGGGGACACAGCTGCCATGTGGACACAGATACCATGGCGGGGACAGCTACCATGTGGACACAGATACCATGAGGGACACATTTACCATGGGGTCCACAGCTAACATGCGGTACACAGCTACCATGTGGACCCAGCACCATGGGGAAGAAGGTGCTAAGATTAGATCAAACAGAACTTCTGGTCCAAACCATTATCCCCAGTGTCAGATATGGGGGGAGCATCATGCTGTGGGGCATCAACCTGCAGAACCCAGACTTCATTTGATCTGACGGAGCCAAACTGTCAGTCTCTAGATGTGCAGATCCTGTGTCTGCTGTTACTATAAGAGGCTCCACATGGTACCTCTGTGTCTGCTGTTATTACAGGAGGCTCCACATGGTACCTCTGTGTCTGCTGTTATTACAGGAGGCTCCACATGGTACCTCTGTGTCTGCTGTTACTATAAGAGGCTCCACATGGTACCTCTGTGTCTGCTGTTATTACAGGAGGCTCCACATGGTACCTCTGTGTCTGGTGTTATTATAGGAGGCTCCACATGGTACCTCTGTGTCTGCTGTTATTACAAGAGGCTCCACATGGTACCTCTGTGTCTGGTGTTATTATAGGAGGCTCCACATGGTACCTCTGTGTCTGCTGTTAGGAGGCTCCACATGGTCCACATAGTACCTCTTTGTCTGCTGTTATTACAGGAGGCTCCAAATGGTACCTCTGTGTCTGCTGTTATTATAGGAGGCTCCACATGGTACTTCTGTGTCTGCTGTTATTACAAGAGGTTCCATATGGTACCTCTGTGTCTGCTGTTATTACAGGAGGTTCCACATGGTAGCTCTGTGTCTGCTGTTATTACAGGAGGTTCCACATGGTACCTCTGTGTCTGCTGTTATTACAGGAGGTTCCACATGGTACCTCTGTGTCTGCTGTTATTACAGGAGGCTCCACATGGTACCCCTGTGTCTTCTGTTATTACAGGAGGTTCCACATGGTACCTCTGTGTGTGGTGTTATTACAGGAGGCTCCACATAGTACCTCTGTGTGTGGTGTTATTATAGGAGGCTCCACATGGTACCTCTGTGTCTGCTGTTATTATAGGAGGCTCCACATGGTACCTCTGTGTCTGCTGTTATTATAGGAGGTTCCACATGGTACCTCTGTGTCTGCTGTTATTATAGGAGGCTCCACATGGTACCTCTGTGTCTGCTGTTATTACAGGAGGCTCCACATGGTACCTCTGTGTCTGCTGTTATTATAGGAGGCTCCACATGGTACCTCTGTGTCTGCTGTCATTATAGGAGGCTCCACATGGTACCTCTGTGTCTGCTGTTATTATAGGAGGCTCCACATGGTACCTCTGTGTCTGCTGTTATTATAGGAGGCTCCACATGGTACCTCTGTGTCTGCTGTTATTACAGGAGGTTCCACATGGTACCTCTGTGTCTGCTGTTATTATAGGAGGCTCCACATGGTACCTCTGTGTCTGCTGTTATTATAGGAGGCTCCACATGGTACCTATGTGTCTGCTGTTATTATAGGAGGCTCCACATGGTACCTCTGTGTCTGCTGTTATTATAGGAGGCTCCACATGGTACCTCTGTGTCTGCTGTTATTATAGGAGGCTCCACATGGTACCTCTGTGTCTGCTGTTATTATAGGAGGCTCCACATGGTACCTCTGTGTCTGACACAGCGAAGAGAGGGAGGTGTGTGGTCAGAGAGAGCGTGGGCCTGTGTCGTGGAGTGGTTTGTGTGCGCTGTGTGTGGGTTTGTTGTGTGCGCTGTGTGTGTGTTGTGTGTGCTGTGTGTTTGTTGTGTGTGTTTGTTGTGTGCGCTGTGTGTGTGCTGTGTGTTTGTTGTGTGTGTTTGTTGTGTGCGCTGTGTGTGTGCTGTGTGTGTTCTGTGTGCTGTGTGTTTGTTGTGTGTGTTTGTTGTGTGCGCTGTGTGTTTGTTGTGTGCGCTGTGTGTTTGTTGTGTGCGCTGTGTGTGCGCTGTGTGTGTGTTTGTTGTGCGCGCTGTGTGTGTGTTTGTTGTGTGCGCTGTGTGTGTGTTTGATGTGTGCGCTGTGTGTGTGTTTGTTGTGTGCGCTGTGTGTGTGTTTGTTGTGTGCGCTGTGTGTGTGTTTGTTGTGTGCGCTGTGTGTGTGTGTGTGTTGTACTTGTTTTCTATGCAAATGTTTGAAATAAATTCTACTACTACAATGTGCAAAAGATACGTTTAAGAGGCTCAGAAAAGTGTTGTGTTGATGGTGTCAATGGTGTTGTGTTTGGGATGTTGATGGTATTGTGTTTATGGTGTCGACGGTATTGTGTTGATGGTGTCGATGGGTGTTGACGGTGTCGTGTTGATGGTGTCAACGGTGTTGTGTTAATGGTGTTGTGCTGATGGTGTTGTGCTGATGGCGTTGTGCTTATGTTGTCGATGGTATTGATGGTGCTGTGTTGATGGTGTTGATAGTGTTGATGGTGTCAATGGTATTGATTATGTCAATGGTGTCACTGGTATTGATGGTGTTGATGGTGTCGATGGAGTTGTGCTGATGGTGTCGATGGTGTTGTGTTGATGGTTTCAATGGTGTTGTGTTGATGGTGTTTCTGGTGTTATTTGCCATTTGCAGTAAAAACACCACATAGGAATACATTAGCAAAAGTCTCCAGTGTGCACAGACAAATACAGACATAAAACAACATTAAAAGACAAAAATAAAACAAATAAAACAGTAAACAAATGTCACTGTGAAATGGATCGACTAAAACAGTTTCAAAACAAGTGCAAATCATTAAAGTGCTCTGTTCACACTGATAACAGCTTGTGGATAAAAACTGTTAGCGTAACGAGATGTCCTGCATCTCAGAGAGCGATATCTTCTGCCAGAGGGAAGAAGCTGGAACATGGCTTTCCCAGGGTGGCCAGAAGAGTCATTAACAATCCTAAGAGCTTTGTTTAAAAGTCTGGATTTATAAAGAACCTCCAGAACAGGAAGCTCACAGCCCACGGTCCTCTTTGCAGAGCGGAGCACCTTGTTTAAAGCTCTCTTTTCTTTATCTGTGATGTTTCCAAACCACACAGACACAGAACCAACAAGTAAACTCTCAATGGTGCAGCGATAAAAGTTAAGCACAATCTTAGAGTTAGTGGTAAATTCTCTAAGTTTACGCAGAAAGTAGAGACGCTGATGAGCTTTCTTAACGACTCGGTCAGTGTTTTTAACCCATTTCAGGTTAGACAGAGTTAAACCCAGAAACTTACACTCCTCTACGATCTGCACCTGGGAGTTGTCGATTACGACAGGCAAATGAGAACTATTGCGACTGAAGTCGTAGACCAGTTCACATGTTTTGGATGCGTTCAACTGGAGGTTGTTAGTTTGACTCCACTGAACCACATTTTGTATCTCTGCTCTATAAGAGGATTCATCAGTGTCACTGATGAGACCGATGATGGTGGTGTCATCAGCATATTTGATGATCAAGTTTGAGGCAGAGGAGGACACACAATCGTGAGTGTACAAATTAAAAAGCAAAGGACTCAAAATACATCCCTGAGGAGAACCAGTGCTCACAGAAACAACATCAGAAAAACAGTCCTTGATTTTCACTCTCTGAGATCTGTCAGTTAAAAAGCTAAAAATCCATTTACACATGGCAACACTTAAACCGAGAGACATGAGCTTTTCCATCAGTTTACCTGGGACAAGGCAGTCCCAGGTAAACTGTCGATGGGTGTTGATGGTGTTGATGGGTGTTGATGGTGTCAATGGTTTTGATGGTGTTGTGCTGATGTTGTCGATGGTGTTGATGGAGTTTCTGTTGTTGTGTTGATGGTGTTGCTGGTGTCTATGATGTCGATGGGTGTTGATGGTGTCGATAGTGTTGATGGTGTCGTGCTGATAGTGTTGTGCTGATGATGTCAATGGTGTTGATTATGTTTCTGGTGTCGATGATGTTGATGGTGTCAATGGTGTTGATGGCGTTGTGTTGATGGTGTCAATGATATTGATGGTGTCGATGGTGTTGTGCTGAAGGTGTTGATGGTGTTGTGTTGATGGTGTCGATGGTGTTGTGTTGATGGAGTTGCTGGTGTTGTGTTGATGGTGTCTATGATGTCGATGGATGTTGTGTTGATGGTGTCAATGGTGTTGTGCTGATGGAGTCGATGGTGTTGATGGTATTGATGGTGTCAATGGTGTTGTGCTGATGGAGTCGATGGTGTCGATGGTGATGTGTTGATAGTGACGATTGTGTTGATGGTGTTAAGGGTATTGATGGTTTCGATGGTGTCATGTTGATGGTGTCAATGGTGTTGTGTTTATGGTGTTGATGGTGCTGTTGGTATTGATAGTGTTGTGTTGATGGTACCTCTTATTGGACACGTTGTCTGTTACCGCGGTGACTGAAGCCAGAGAAATGGTGTCGGGGTCTGGGGCTCCGGACATGAAGGAGCCCAGAGTCTCTGTCTCCAGGACCGCAGGCTCATCTGAGGACCAGGTGAGACACCAGGTGAGAGACAAACAGGTGAGAAGTGAGGGACACCAGGTGAGAAACCAGGTTAGAGACACCAGGTGAGAGACCAGGTGAGAGACACCAGGTGAGAGACACCAGGTGGCAGGCACCAGGTGCAAGACACACAAATAACACACAGACATACACACAGAGACACACACTCACACAAACACATACACAAACACACACACAGACACACAGAAACACAC